TGCACCGCCAAATTCTGCAGTCAGGGACTGCTCCAAATTATTGAGGTGCAATGATGTCAGTCTGAGTTCAAAGGTGCACCAGTAAGGTCATAGTCTTTTCAAGCACTTGCTATGCATCTGAGAGCAAGACAATAAAGATGTTAGAAAAATTTATAAAATTAATGTGTCTGAGCTGTGGTGCTGCAGAAGAGTGCTAAAGATCACATAGACTCCAAAAGAACATACAGACATTCCTTGGAGAAGGTACAGTGCTCCTTGTCTCACACACTTAGGGCATGCTGCTAAGACAGGCTATTCCTTGAAGGACATCATGTTTGGAAAAGTGGAGGAATAACCAAAGAGAGGAAGTCTTTCAAACAGATGGAATGACACAGTGACTATAGCAATGGACTCCAGTATGTCAGAGTGCCAGGATGGTACAGGATAGAAAGGGTTCAGATCTGTTATTCACAGGATTTTTATGAATTATCTTTGACTTGATAGATTTAATAACCATAGACAGGATAGAACTATTCCATAGAATTCCTAAGGTTATACATCTGTTCATAGCAGTGTTAGTCACCATCACAAAAACATGGAAACAGCCCAAATATTAATCGAATGGATTGAGAAATTGTGGAACATTCAAAAAATGGAATATTATGTAGCACACAGGAGCAATGATTTCGTAAATTATTACCTAACTTGGGAGGAACTGGAGAGCATTATGCTAAGTAAATTAACTCAGTCCCACAATGACAAATATTATATAAAACCATTCTTGAGTATAAGGAGGATCCAAGAGGGGTAGGAGAGCATGGAAGCAGAGGGATGAGGATTTGCAGAGGGAGGGAGGGATAAATCATGGGGTAGTACAATTTGATGGGCGTAGGGTGAGGGAAGTTGAAAGAAATTGTTCTTAAAACAATGTATTCAAATTTTGTAAATAAACTAGTATAAAATGTTTTATAAAAAAAGAGGAAAACTGACAACAAGATGAATTGACACAGTAGCTACAAACATGGGTGCAAAGATAGCAACAATTGTGAGGATGGTATAGAACTCGAAGTGTTTCTACTGCATATGGGGTATACTGTGAGTAAGAAACAATTTGATGGCATTGAAAAACAGGGGATGAATGGTACTAAATTAACAAATGTTGATAAAAATTTAACCCACGCTTCTTTTCCAAGAAAATACCAAATGTCAGATGATGCCAGTGCAGCATGAGGGCATGGAGGCCTCAGGGCCCCCAGAAGGGGAGCTTGTGGTGGTTTCTATGGAGGCTTTGGTAGTGGTCCGCCTAGCGTTCTGCCAGTTGGGGGCCATGGATGCAGCCATGGAGCTCAAGGAGGCAAAGCTGAGGACAAGGAGTAGCTCTCCTGTTACCAAGGTGGGCCATCTGGTCAAAGATATGAAAATCAAACCTTAGAGGAGATTTATCTCCTCACTGCCCATTCAAGGAGTCTGCAATCATTGACTTTTTCCTGAAAATGTCCTGTAAGGATGAGGTCTTGAAAATTACGCCTGTGGAGACGCAGATATATGCTGGCCAGCGGACCAGGTTCAAAGTCATTGCTGCCACTGGAGACTATAATAGCTATGTTGGCTTGGGCGTCAACTGCTCCAAGGTGGTGGCTACTGCCATCCGTGGGGTAATTATCCTGGCCAAGCTCTCTTTTGTCCTTGTGCAGCATGGCTACTGGGGGAACAAGACTGGCAAGCCTCACACCATTCCCTGCAAGGTGCCTGGGCTCTGTGGCTCTGAGTTGGTGCATCTGATCCCTGCACCCCGAGGCACTGGAACTGTCTCAGCCTCTGTGCCCAAGAAGCTGCTGTTGATGGCTGGAATTAATGACTGCTACATCTCAGCCAGGGGCTGCAAAGCTATCCTGGGCAACTTCGCCAAGGCCACCGTTGATGCCATCTCCAAGACCTACGCTACTTGACCTAGATCTCTGGAAAGAAACTGTTCACCAAGTCTCCCTACCAAGAATTCACTGACCATCTTGTAAAGACCAGAGTCTGTGCAGAGGATTCAGACTCCAGCTATGGCCATCACATAGTGGATTTTGTATAAAAAAAAATAAAGTGGATTAAGTTAAAAAAAAAAAAAGAAAAAAACAAAGCACCCAAAACCAAAAAGCATTACACTCACATACAAAGACTTACATAAAAATAGCAAAAAAAAAAAAAAAGACAAGAGACACACAGGTTCCAAAACATAAGTCTAATAGGAGTTCTTTTAAGGAGAACAAAAAGAGATAGAAAGCAGTATTTAAAGAAATGATCATTTAAAGTATCCTAAATTTAAGGTAACTATTCAGACTAAGAAAGGTAAACAAAAGCTTTGAGAAATGGTAACGTAAATTCCAGAGTATCATTAGATAAGTAGCCCTAAATGAGAAAAGAATAAATAAAAGAATCAAAACAATATCAAATGTTTCATTAACAAAATCTAAAGAATATGATACAGCAAGAAGTCAAATAACTACCCCTGTACCTGAAAAAACAAACAAAAATAAAATAAAATATAATAAATAAAAACTCCCAAATTGAAATACATAAAATAAGTTTTCAAACAATGGGCCACAAACAGATCAGGATAATAATAGGAGTGGGGAAACAAGTGAAATAAAAATAGTAATTGCCCCAACTTACACCTTGGGGAATGTTTTCAGGAAGAAGGCACCCAAACACAACATGGCATTCTGACTCAGTTGAAGAAATGCCTTTTATGGTCTGGGCAGTTGAAGATCACTAGTCTTTATAAGCCGGAGTACCAAAGAGGAAAGAGATTCACAAAGACTGCTAAAGATCTGCAAATGGATCCTTCAAGCTTATGCCATATATAAGAAAAAGACCCAAGGTTAGTGAAAGACTACTAGAATGTGATACAACTTTTAAAACTTACTGATGGCTGGACATTTCATGTTTCCAACAGCCAGAGTGCAAAGACTGCCAACTCAGTGAGGACTGGTTACTAAGAAAAGCAATCCTCTACAGTAGGGTATAATTAGCCCTAGACTAAAGACTGGGCTGGCACAGAAAAAAGGATGTTTCAAAAGAATCAAAGGGTTTCCAATTAACATTTTTTAAATACTGAAAGAAAATAGCCCTTCAAAATAAAATATCTTCACCAAAAGTATCTTTTGAAACAAAAGGCAAAATAAAAAACATTCAGAATATATAAACACCATGTAAATGTACCAGCTGACCAGCAAACATTATCATTCAAGTGTAGGGGTAAAATAAAATAATTTTCCAACAAATCTTGGAATGTTTTTCCCCAAAGGAATTACCAGAGAACATTCTTTAGCACATGAAGTTGTCTTGAGCCAGAGCTGACTCAATGGTAAATAACAATTTTCCAGCATAAAAAATAAGATAAAAAATAAATAGGGGTAATAGTGAGACTGCTGAAGAAAGCAATAACCTAGTCTTGATATGTCTACCAATTTCTAAGAATTTTTTTTTAATAAAAATCTGTAACAAAAATTGTGGATGCTTTTATAATGGGACTATCAGGCAAGGGTCTAAGACAATATCTTCTAATATTTACTGATGAATAAAAATACAGATAAAAACCAAATTTAGGAAAACATACATTTCTGCTAAAAATACGAGTGGTTATTATTTTTAAAACGCAATTACAATGCTAGTTTTCTCTGACAATATTTAGAGTAAAAAATATTCTAAACTTGACTGACTACATTGACTCACAAATATGTCACTTATGAACTCAAACAGTTGTTTGTTGTTATGTGCTGCCGAGTCACTTGCAACCTCTAATGACCCTATGTATAGCAGTTCTAAACCCTGCCCTGTCCTGAGCCAGTCTCACTAATTCTGACACACCAACCCTCATTGCCCCAATTATTTTATCAACCCATCTCATCCGAGGTCACAAATTATAACTATAGAAATATTACAACCTAATGACATATAGTACCATTATCGTAGATCTATTCCCTATTTGAGCATGCGCTTTATGGGGTGCAGAGCTGAGAAAAACAATCATCAGATGTTCTGTGGACAAAAGACCAAAAAGTAGCTGTGTAGCTCTACAAGTCAAGTTTTAACAAATCCAATGATTAACTAGAAACTTAATATTTTCTTAAATAATGATTTAGTAATCTAGTTAGCTAGCATATAGAAATTCAAATATAGTTACATTTTTTAATTTATTCTTGAATTAATGCATATTTATTTTTATCCAAATATATTTCTTACTTTTATTTAAAATATTTTGCTAACTTAAAGTATTTAAAGGGAAAAGAAAGCTTATTAGAGGGGAAAAAACCATTTAAGACGTTATTTAATATAACTATCTGGGATGTCACCAATCCAAAGGCATGTGGTTCAAATATATCTGCTGCTCTGTGGGAGAAGACAGGCAATCTGCTCTTGTGTAGTTTACTGCCTCTGATCAGCTGTGAGTAGGGTCTGACTCAATGGTTCTCAACAATAAGATGTATAAAATATTTGCACCAGAGCCCACCTAACAACAAAACAGCTAAAAAACTTGTGACCCACTTTTACAAAAGATAATAGGAAAACCTGGAGTTCTATTTTGTAACACAAGGGTCAGCAGTAGTCAGAATCGATCTGATGGCAACTGGTTTGGTTTTTCATAGTTTTTTATATTCATTTATACTCATTCTATATCTAGGAATTACTCTCAAGTAACCAAAGCAACAATCTCATTTCATACAGACTATTTAAAAATATAGCATAAAGGAGGTTAAATGTCATATGAATTAATAAAATGCTATGATCTATTCAAAATATTAGACAGACGCTTTAGAGCACAGTGAAGAATAATTAATCTGAAAAGGGAGGTGAGAATGGTTGCACAACTTGAAGAATGCAATGCTATCAAACTGTGTCCATGAAGAAAGTGGAAAACCCTCCAAATCTTTATACTCTATTTTGACTATTTTTATTTCTCATTCTAATACATTAACATTGATACTTACCTATTCAATATGATTAAAACCTTAGAAAAAAATTAAACTTACCATATGTCCTTCGGCTCGAGCTTTATTCTGCATAGCCTCTTGTTTTCGTTGTAGGAACTCTTCCACTTGTTTAGCTCTTTCCCAAGATAGCTGCCCTTTTTGCCTGAGTAATTTGGACAAATAACTGAGTCGGTAATTCTAAATATTAAACATGCCAAAATATTAAAAACTATTCTTATTCTAAATACATTTTTCAGTTGCAGAATATTTTAAAATGGTTATATGAAATACCACCTTTCTCTGTAATGAAGAAGTAGTTACATATTTATTGATATTTACTACCTAATTACATTATTTACTATTGTAATTAAAAAATCTGCACTCATACATTAAAATATTGACAATGTTTGTCTTTTATTTAGTTGATCTGTTAAAATTATGTTGTTGTGTACCATCAAGATGGAACTAATCCATAGCTGCTGTTCCAGTTGGTTTTCAGAGAACAGTTAGCTCGCATGGAGGAAACTACTCATTTTTCTCCCATGTAGTAGTTGGCAGGTTCAAACCATGTGCTTTTGCTTTGGCAGCATTACCCCTTACCATTAAGCCAAAAGAGCTTCCCAGAATTTCAGTTATAGACCAAATACGCTATTTTAGACTGTGCTTACATATAGAATAGTGCTCATAACTTATAGGCCATTGAGCCTATATCAGAAATTTGTGTCAAATATATCTGAGATGCCAATTTAAAGTCAAATGAAAGCAGCATAATAGCAGTATCAAAAATGAAGTTTGTTTGCTGTGTATGCGTATAGAACATAGTAAAAAATCATTCCTGAATTCTCTGAATATAATTATTAAAAACTGAAATGGATAGGTTAGGAAAAAATTAAAAAGCATAGTTATTTTTTCATATTTTATAATTTTATTTTTGTTATCTTTATTTGATTATAAAAACCCTAAACATTAGATTACAAATAAATATATCAATCACAACCAACTAATGAATACTATGTCATAACCATGCTTACTAATAAACATAAAAATTTTAAGCTACTCCAAATAATCAGAGAATTCATAGCACAAAGCAATTTTAATTAATTTGTTTAGTGAGAAAAAAGCAAAAAGTTTTGGGGTTGTGTATCTACTAGGATTTTTGCCTAAGAAATTGGGCAAACTTCCTACAGTTGCTGAGTTATAATGTGAAAAAAAGGCATATATTTTCAGTTTTCTAGTAAGATTTAAGCACTTCTTATCATCATAGCACAAATAATGATTTCTTTTTACATTTTATGTCAACTACTATTACAAACTGAAACATTAAAATTTTTTTCCATATAAAAGCTTTAAAAACCTGAAATGTTGGGGAGTTCTGGTGGCCTAGTGGCAAGGAGCTGCAACTACAATCCCAGAGGGGCACGGTTCGAATCCACCAGATGCTCTGCCGGGAAAAGGAGGGACAATCTCCTCCTGTACCAGTCAGATCTGATTTGACGGTACACTCACACAA